TATACTGACTTAATACAGAGGTTCTAAATTTGTCCACGATAGCTGTCCGGCATAGCTATGTGTCATCCTAGCTGTGTGAGCACATTAATCAAACATTTTCTATAGAAGTGGTTAGTATTTTCTCTACACATACTCTTCTTTCCATGTTTACTCTTGAAACTCTCGATTCATACTGAAACTTGGATGTCTATAGGTTTTTATCCAGAAAAGCGTACTCCTTTCTAGAATTGAACTAGATTATTTCATTCTCATTTTTTTCTCTTGATGTTGGTAATAAATTTACTTCCTTTTTAATTTGGAGTACTATAGAGCTATTATGACAGATATAAAAGAGATTAAAAAGGTTGAAAACCAGTTAGAATTTGGTGGTGTTACAGTTATGATCTTGTTAACTTCCTGGTTTAGATAGCGATATAAAGTCAGGTGATAAATTTAAGATAGAGGATAGCACTACACTAATTTCCCTTACCCACGAAGAATGTAGTTCTGGAGACAGAGGTGCAAGCTGAGTGTCTTTGTTGGTCCATAAATACGGGGAATTAAGGTGTACAAATACTGTTTTTTAAGTGAAAAAGGTAGAGTAATTTGTCAATCTCTTGGTATTTGGATTGTACAGAATTGAGTCTAGTTTGGTATTGATCCTTTCTGTTTGTTGGCTGTTCAATGGCATATTTGGTGATAGCTGATCATCAGTCCAACACCTAAACGTTACCTCTCAAATGAGCAGTTGAGGACTGAGTGGGAATGGGGAAGCATCTTCTAAACCTAATAGGTGCTTGCTTTGACAACATATGTTACGTTACAAAAAATTGAGAGCAAGTGTTAAATCTGCTGCCCTTATGATTGAACTTAAAGAAAGCTCTGGTTAGGATTCCCAATGATTAACAGACTGTACTATAAATATTGCTTAAATTATGAATATATTTATACATTACAACTATATACTTGAAAATGTGCCTGAAAATATTTTTCATATCCTTATCCAGTCTTGAGTTAAAATCTTTTAAGATGTACTGTTTTTGGTATGATACAGAATCTAGAACCTGTGACTGGACAGTGAAAGGAGGATGGATTTTTCAGATATCTGGCCTATTTTTAATTGTACTTTTTTAAAGCCATCATGCTGAGTTTCAAGGTTTAGGACCAAATTCTGCTCTTAGTTATACAACACAGTCCAAGTCAACTCTTCTTATATCCAATAGGGGAGAGGGAGATGGGGGGAACCCGGGCCCTCCCTCTACTCCAGGTTTCAGCCCAGGGCCCTGTGGATCGCAGCTGTCTACAGTGTTTCGTGTAACACCTGTGTGACAGCTATAACTCCCTGGGCTACTTCCCCATAGCCTCCTCCCAACACCTTCTTTATCCTCACCACAGGACCTTCCTCTTGATGCCAGATAGCGTTTGTACTCCTCAGTCCTCCAGCAGCACGCCCTCTCACTCTCAGCTCCTTGCGTACCCTTCACTGACTGAAGTGAGGTCCTTTTTAAACCAGGTGTCCTAATTAGCCTGCCTGCCTTAATTGGTTCCAGCAAATTCCTGATTTTTCTGGAACTGCTCCTGTTATCTTACCCAGGAAAAAGACCTGCTTAATCTGAGGCTAATATATCTGCCTTCTATCACTCTCCTGTAGTGGGCCCCTGCCCCGTGGACCCAACCGGCCTCCCCGCCCGTGAGCCAGCTGCACGACTTGAAGCCGGTTCGTTTCCAGACTGCACCAAGGAAACACGCTTGTGCTCCACACTCTGCACTTCCTCACCCTCGTGTCCTGCCCCGACACAAAGTGGCGGGACCTGCTTCCACCTCATAGACTCATAGACTTTAAGGTCAGAAGGGACCATTATGATCATCTGGTCTGACCCCCTGCGTGCTGCAGGCCACAAAACCGTCCCTACCCTTCTCTTGACTCTGCTGATGAAGTCCCCAAATCCTGTATCTTGGTGACTTCAATTGGCAGAGAACCCTCCTGCTAGCGATCCCTGCCCCATGCTGCGGAGGAAGGCGAAAAACCTCCAGGGCCTCAGCCAATCTACCCTGGAGGAAAATTCCTTCCCGACCCCAAATATGGCGATCAGTAAGACCCCGAGAACGTAGGCAAGAGTCTCCAGCCTGACCCTTGTTAGCCATTATATTATTTACCTGCTATTGCTCGGTATTCCTCAGCTAATATGTTTTACCATTAAACCATTCCCTCCATAAACTTATCTAATTTAATCTTAAAACCAAACAGGTCCCTCGCCCCCACCGTTTCCCTTGGAAGGCCGTTCCAATATTTCACCCCTCTGACGGTCAGAAACCTTCGTCTAATTTCAAGCCTAAACTTCCCCACTGCCAGTTTATATCCATTCGTTCTCGTGTCCACATTAGTACTAAGCTGGAATAATTCCTGTCCCTCCCTGGTATTTATCCCTCTGATATATTTAAAGAGAGCAATCATATCCCCCCTCAGCTCATCTTATTGGGGGCACATTTCAATTACCTACAAGAAAGTTTAGAAATAAATAATGAACAGTTAGAATGAAGATTTTACAATAAATAGAAAACAAAACAAGCTACAAATAATGGAGTGATACTGTCGCAGATGGATACAACACAGAAAAGTTACATCCCTGTATATTTTAATAAGACTATTTCAGAAAATATTTAAATCCACTCAAACTCCTCTCTCTCGCCCTCTTCCCTTTACTCATCCCCCCGTGAAGTCTTAGCAACCGGGGCACTACCTACCAGCTGCAGTCACACGAGGGTGAGAAGCCCTGGTGGGCCAGCCTATACTCCACCCTGCTCCCAAGGCACGCCTGGGATATCAGTTGGTGACTCCTTCATGGGCCATAAGCACAGGCATGTACTTGGAGCGGTTCACCCCCGTCCCAGACACCTGCCCCTTCTGCGGTGTGAGGGAGACTCTGGTGCACATTTACCTGGAGTGTGCTAGGCTGCAGCCCCTATTCCGGGTCCTCACAGATATCCTGTTGCGTTTCTGGCTGCACTTTTCCCCTCACCACCTTATTTATGCACTCCCTATCCGTGGCCCCACAAAGTCACGGGACCTCCTGGCCAACCTCCTCCTGGCCCTAGCGAAACTGGCCATCTATAAAACCAGGGAGAGGAGGTTGGCCGATGGAGTCTCCTGTGACTCTGGGGCCTCTTTCTGATCCTCCGTCCATTCACGCATTCGGGCAGAGTTCCTCTGGGCGACGTCCACTGACTCCCTTGACACCTTCGAGGAGCAGTGGGCGCTGTCCAGGGTTCGCTGCTCAGTGTCCCCATCAGGTTCCCTTCGTTTGACTCGTTGACTGCACTCCTGTCCCTGTTATTTCATTAGTTGTCCCCTGAAATCACTTGGTTTCCAGGTCCGGTGGATCCCACCCCCAAGGCTGGGGGGATCTTTTAGCAGGGGGCTTCAGCCCGCCCACTTCCTGGATCCCAACAGGATCACTCTCTTGTAGCCCTCTGGCCCAACCCTGTCACAAGACCTATAGCTGTGATACAAAATAAGGCCCTGATCTTGCAGTTTTTGCAATTGATTCCATGTGGACTGACCCCAGGCACAAAATTGGTTGTATGGTCAGGGTTTCAAAAAATTATTTTGCACCAGCATACTACAGATAGGATTACAGTTTATATAGAATTATTTGTCTAATCTAATTATGTTGTATTGTTCAAGATACTTTGTTTAGTCCTAAAAATAAAATATATTACATATCTGAGTTCATTTGGAAATTCTAGAATCATTAGCTGCTTCCTAAGTATAAGTGTGTTTTGCCTAATTCCAAGATTTCATGGAGGATTGGGTACTTTTTTGGTCACACAATCAATTTAAAGCAAGAGAAAATCCCCCAAATGATTTGTATAAACAAAGAATCCCCAGGAGGTACTGGCAAACTGTGCCTTTGCATTCACACGGGTAAGTCTCCTCCTGCAGTATAATGTTCCATTACATGTCTTTTTAGTTATATTTGCTTTGCTAACAACCAAAACAAGTACACTTTTACTTTTTCAAGCACTATAGACCGGCATTATCAACAACATTCTAACTATGAAGCCAGATCCTGACCTAGCATATATCAGCATAGCTCCATTGAAATCAATAAAAATTTTCCAATTTACATGAAAAGGATCTGGCTGTAAGTTTTGATTTTTAAAAACCCTTGATTGTAGATTAAAAGATTTTTCCTTTGATTTGGAGTTAGAAGGAAAATGAAAGGGAAGAGAAGTCAGAATAGTCATAGAAGCAACATCCGAGATTTTTTTTAAAGTTATTATATTGTGCCAATTGCTGGTGTATCTGAATGCTTTCCAGAGTTAAGAATAATTAAGGTGACTAGCATCTGTTATTTGAGGTTTCTATTTCTCCCATATCCCCCAGAGCAGTGGTTTTCAACCTGTGGTGCACAGACCCCTAGGAATTTGCAGACTGTCTAAGGGGTCCTCGAAAGGTTATCGTTACAACGGAATAGTGGTTTTCAACCCGTGGTCTGTGGGGATCCACAGACTATGTCTAAGATTTCCAAAGAGGTTTGCGCCTCCATTTGAAATTTTCTAGGGTCCACAAATGGAAAAGAGGTTGAAAGCCATTGTCCCAGAGGGTAAAGGGTGTGTGTGTGGGGTGGGGTGGGGGG